GCCGCTCCCACAGCTCACCAACGCTGTCTCTGCCTCCGCCGCCATCTTGAATCCTCCAGGCTATAAATCTTAAGAGAAGACTGCCCATCTTTCTCATTAGGATCTGCTAGAGACAAGAAGCCTTTCACTTAACAGCACAACATGCTCTGGACTATGCCACCAGAGCTGACCCTCCAGCAGGTTTTCTGAGGTGATAAATCGAACAATAGGAAATTGCCCATCTTTCTCCATGGAGTGGCTGATGGAGTTAGCCCATCAGAGAAGGCATCATATTTAGATCAGCATACCTCTACCCACATGCCTCTGGAAACTCTATGAACTTAGATAAATGTCAATAGTTGTAGAGGGGCTTCAGATCTTTTGTTCATAGGGTCACTATGAGCTGTGTTCGACTCAGCGGCAATCAATAACAACAACACCACCACCAGAGGTCCCTCAGATGGAGTTGTTGCTATATATTGTCAAGTTGGAATTGATCTGTCACTGTAAACCACATGGAGGAGATTTCCCATCTTTCTCCACTAGAGCAGCTAGTGGATTTGATCCATGTGCCTTTATCATAACTCCTTATCACCAGACCTCCCTTGTATGGAGTTATTGTTGTTAGGTGCCATCAAATCAAGTATGACTTAGCAATCCTGTGAACAACTGATCTTAACCGTATCCTATCCTGTGCCATCTTCCTCATCTTTGACTCACTTCAGACCACTGTAATCAGTCCATTTCTCCTTCACTGCCTCTCATATTTTCTAATATGCTGTCGCCTTCCAAGAAATAGCCTCTCTAGCAACATGCCCAAATTATGGGAGATGAAATTCCACTATCCCTTGTCTCCAAGAAGCACACTGGCTACCTTTTTTCCCAATACCTATTTGTTTATTCTTTTGGCAGTCTATGGAATATTATGTACTCCAACACTACAATTCCAAGGCTTATATTACATATTCTATATTAATATATATTATAATATTATATATATTATCTTATTCTTGTTCAGCTCTCAAATACATACCAAGTGATTGAAAAGACCATTGCCTTAATCTTCAAACAAATACCATTGTGCCTCAGTAATTTGGAGAGCTCCCTGATGAGCTGACCTGCCCAATACAATACGTCTTCTGATCTCGTGATTGTTGGTACCAACAATATTGATTATGTATCCAAGTAAGGTAAAATTACGGGAAATTTCAATTTTTTTTCTATATAAATCATGGTCTAGTGGTGAGGATTTTTGTCTTCTTGATGTTTAGATCTAATCCATATAGAAGGCTGTAGTTCCTGATCATCTTCAGCAATCATTTCATGTCCTCCTCACTTTCAAGAAGCAAGGTTGTGTCATGAAGGTTGTTATGAGTCTTTCATGTACCCTGATGCTGC